TCTCTCTCTCTCTCTCTCTCTCTCTCTCTCTCTCTCTCTCTCTCTCTCACACACACACACACACACACACATACACACACACACACACACACACACGGCAGGCTCACTATAATCTTGTTTCATTCAGAAGGCCATAGTTATGAAGGGTTGACGTGGAGGTTAGTGAAACACTGTTTCTCATTACTCATATGACCTTATGAATGTCAGTCTCTCTGGAACTTCAATTTTTCTTTATACGAGACAGGAAAGGATGATTAAGTTACAAGAGTTGTTGAGTGAACTACTACTTTGAGCACAGACTTATTTGAAGATTAGTTCTATGGAAATCTATATTGAGCAAATACCCTTCAATGTTAAACATATGTATAGACACACTCACATGCCACAGGATTTATATTCAAAGACCTCCATACTCTAGTCCTTGCAATACATCAGTGTTATTTTGATGGAAAAAAGGCACTTGGAAGATGCAATACAAGTATTTTCAGATGAGGAGGTCTAGCCCCGTACAGTCACGAGTCATTCCTCCACAGGAGGAATCAGTCAGAGAAAGTGTAGGGCTATTCTGGGAGAATCACCAACTATGTCTACTCACCACAGATAGGGAAGTAACAATAGATAGACCAAAGAAACGATTCTACCAAGTTCGACTTGACAAGCCAAGAAATTTCCTGGAACTGCTCATAAGAGTACAGGTGAGGGGATGCTTACAGGAAGGAGGGACTCAAAGGGAAGTGCATCACCTCAAAGCCCAGTCCACACAGGTGACAACTCACACAGCCTACACCCCTGGATCTCTCTGCATCATTTTTACTGCCTGTGTAACTTTCTTGTGGGAGAGGTCATGTGAATCTGGTAAGTTTTGAGGTTTCCTGGGACTCTTGAATTGCTTACTCTCTGAGTCTTGGGGATCCTCTAATCTGGAGGAAATATTTCAATTTGGAGTATACTGGCAAATAGGAGAAGGAAGAGTCATTTCTGAGTGTTCATCATCCCTGACAAACAGTGCTGTGAGCTAAAGGACATGGGCATCCTCTACAAACAAAGAGGCAAAGACATAGACTGACTCTGAGAGCTGTCAGAAGAAACAGCCCTGCTGACATCTTGATTTTGATCTACAGAGACCTGTCAGACTAGTAAGGATTCTATATAGTTCTTATGAATTACAAGATGATAAATTTGGATTTTTTTGGGGGGGGTTTCAAGACAGGGTTTCTCTGTGTAGCCCTGGCTGTCCTGGAACTCTGTAGACCAGGCTGGCCTTGAACTCAGAAATCCGCCTGACTCTGCCTCCCAAGTGCTGGGATTAAAGGTGTGCGCCACCACCGCCCAGCTAAATTTGGATTTCTTAAAACTGCCAATTCACAGAACTTTATTATAGTGGTGATGGTGTGGTATGGTAGTGATATATATCAACACATCTCAAGAGCTTAGGAATCCAAGACCTCCTCAAGAGCTATCATCTATCTCTGCCTCTCACCTGCTGGGATTAAAGGTGAGCACCACCGCCATATGTATATATATGGTGCTACATCACACAGAGACACACAGACACACACACACACAGACACACACATACAATTTGTTGTTTTTTGTCTTGTTTTTTGAGACAGGATTTGACTGTGTAACCCTTGGCTGTCATTTTTAAAGGATTCTCAAGACTCTCAATTTTGTGGACTTTATGGAGTGTGTAAGTTTCATACATCAAGAGGGCTTGCTTTTGGAAAGACTACGCTGCCATTCTTCTATTTGAAGAATGTCACCTAGGACACAAGCATATTTAGTAGAATAACTGAAGTTCTTCGAGAAGGTTTTTTTTTTTTTTTTCCACTTGAAGATAAAGCTTAAAGCATCGTTCCTCTGTCCCCCAAAACAAAAGGAGGTCATTACAGGCAAAACAAGTGGTAATGATTATTACAGAATTCTGTCCTCCTTGCCAGCGCCTGGCCTTTGAGTTTTCTCTGAAGCATCCTGGATTCACGGGTGGGGCATGCGAACGAAGCTGCATTGCACAGCAGCTTTACACTCCCGCGTGGCCATTTATTCCCGGGCCCTCCTCTCCCAGGTGCCAACTCCCGCCTGTGTTTCCAGCTGACAGAGTGGCCAGGCCCTGCATTAGCTGCACCCTGGCATCCAGGGTGGGCTGTCGTAGACGCCAGCAGTCTGAGGGCTTTCTCTGAGTCCTTCTGGTTAGATCGTTGTCTTTTCTGACTGCAGTTCAATTTTGGACGTTCTAGGGGTGGATCAAGGACTTCCCACACTGGAATGAAACCTAGACGACAGCTGCCCAAAGTCTGTCTCACATCCTCTCACCTGGCCTGGTGTGCTAGGTGCCTGCAACCAGTGTCAAAAGAAACCCTGTTCCAGGGATACAGTGAGCATGGGTTGAGGAAAGTGTTTGGAAGAAGTATAGTAAATCTGGCCGATTTAGAAAATAGATGAGATTCCACCTCACACCAGTCAGAATGGCTAAGATCAAAAACACAGGTGACAGTACATGTTGGCGAGGATGTGGAGAAAGAGGAACACTCCTCCACTGTTGGTGGGATTGTAAACTGGTACAACCACTATGGAAGGCAGTCTGGCGGTATCTCAGAAAATTGAACATAGCGTTACCTAGGGACCCAGCTATACCACTCCTGGGCATATACCCAAAAGAAGTTTCAACATACAACAAGGACACATGCTCCACCATGTTCATAGCAGCCTTATTTATAATAGCCAGAAGTTGGAAAGAACCCAGATGCCCTTCAACAGAAGAATGGATGCAGAAAATGTGGTACATTTATACAATGGAGTACTACTCAGCTATTAAAAACAATCAGTTCACAAAATTCCTAGGCAAATGGATGGAGCTGGAAAATATCATCTTGAGTGAGATGACCCAATCTCAAAGGAACATACATGGTATGCACTCACTGATAAGTGGATATTAGCCCAAAAGCTCACAATTTCTAAGAATCTTCATATAAACCACATAAAACTCACATAGAAGAAGGAAGACCAAAGTATGAATTTGTTGGTCCTTTTTAGAAGGAGCATCAAAAGTTTCAACCAGAACTCCCAAAGTCTAAACCACCAACCAGAGAGCACAAAGGGAGGGACTCACGCACCTGTATAGGGTGTTGAGGGTGACCTTGTTAGACTCCAGTGAAAGTGGAGGGCCAAGGTCCCCAAAAGTTTGGATCCCCTACTGTGTTGGAATTCGAGAGCAGGGAGATGGGACTGGGAGGATGTTTGGAGCACACCATCACAAAAATTAGGAGGAAGGGGTAGGGGATAAGGGATTTGGGAGGAGAATGAGAAAGGAGACAACATTGAAAGGTAAATACGTATAATACCCAATACAAACCCCACACAGATAAAGGATTCAAAAAAAAGGGAGTCTATTTATTTTAAATTAATTTCAAAAGTTTCTAGGAGATGCAAATTGGCTAAGATACTATTTTAAGCTCTCCACAAAAGAATTTAAATCTCTGTTCAATATTCTCAAGAGAGAGGTAAACCCTAACTTCCTCAACAGTTAATTGACAAAAGAGAGGTAATCTCACAAAAAGTAGAAAAAGCTATTTCTAATCGATATATCATATAGTCTGGTTAATTGTCAGTGGAGCTATAAAAGTCCTTTGACAAAAGATTATTAATATAGATTTATATATCCTTAAATAAGGCCTTCATGACTCTCTGAGTGTGGAAGGAGCAACTGTTGGCGCTTCTGCCCTGATTTTAC